AAACTAACCAGAATATCATTTGAATTTAATGTAATGGTTTTTAATTATTCAATAGAGTGAAGGGATTTAACTACGAAACTATCAGTTTTCCCTGTAAATGGTTTTGCTTTTGCAATAAATCAACGGGGTAATCTTCGTTTGTGAATCGTAAGGAGTCTATAAAAACCAGAAATTTTAGAGTCGGGAAGGGTGACAGATTTTTTCATGGATTTTAATGGCTTTAATAGCAGATTTAAGGTTGCGTTTCATTGATGACCTGGTATCTTTTTTAAGTTGAGGATATTATACGCCCGTAAGAATATCTTGAATTTTCTCCTGATGGTAGTTTTTCTTTATGACCAAATTGAAATTCTTCTACTAAAGAAAAATCAGAGAATCCCATAGAAATCTCTAAATAACCAAAAAATCTTAGCCGCGAGTCAGGTTTTTATCTTCCACCAATTATGGAATTAGTCAGCAAAGATAATGTTCAAGTTCCTCTTTTAGCTCTGCCGATCCTCAAACAGTTTATAAGCAGGTAGAATATAGAACAGATGCAAACCTGAGCGAGCCAACATGATAATTGGCAAAACAGAAGAGGTTTCTTTAAAAAATATAGTTTTCAGTTCATCCATCTGTATCCATCATGCTTGTTCATTGAGGTCTTCCTTTATTTATCTTATTTTTCCAAGATATTATAATAATAATTATATACTTAATACTATTTTTCTATCTGTCCCCTTTTTATCTGATATTATAACCGACGAATTTTGACTTCGCTATATATAAAATCTAATATCGATCTAATCCTGTTTTTCATTTTATTGCTATTATTATTATCCATATTATTTTCACTCTCGAATAGTGCAATATCTTCCATGTATTAAGCAATACTAATAATTATTATTGAATTTTTTGTTGATGTTTACCACACAAACATCAATATTTCTGGAAAAATATTACACATACTAAATAAACCTATATATATATACGTAAGATATTAACTTCATTTGCAGTCGAAAATAAAGTTATGTTTTTCAAGAGCACCAAAACTACTTATAGAAAGTTCAAATGAACTTTCTCATGCTAATATATAGAACCCATTTTCTTAGTATTAAATTAAATTACTCCAACGCACTGTTAACTTCTGTCGGTTGACTGACCTCTCTTACCAAAGCATAAGTTCCATCGACGTCAAAGCCTCTTGTGACCGTGCTGCTCTCGCACTCTTGCGTTTTTAAATTGCAATGATTGCAAAGTGAGTTTTACGATTCTTTGAAAAATTTGTAGAATTGCAAAAATAAAAACCTTTGAAGTACCTTTCTCCTATTTCCCACTCTATAGGGTGTTCCAAAACAAATGCTAAAATCTTAAGGGAGTTGAAAACAAAACGAACCATAAGAGAGGTATAGCTCTACAAATATGGTGGAAAAAATGTTTTCATCTTAAGAATAGATAGAAAAAGTATATAAAAATACACTTTCTTCCTATTTTTTTAAAGCATGAAAGCATGAAAGTTGAGGAAAAACTTCTGCAATGTAAAACAAAATGTTTTTATTTTACATTTTTTTTTAGAAATTTTTGTCTTCACTAATTTTGTCATAAAACTTACCCTTTTTAAATAAACAAAAAATAGAAAATATATAGGTATTCCTATAATTGCTTTATTTGACATTGCTCAGTTAGTTTGAATACAAAACACGATTTATTTAATCTTATTTATTTATTTCTTTAATCATCCCATTATTTGAACTGAGGCAGATTTTACTTGATGAAAATCCATTTAACACTCAATTAATTAGTACAAAAAATATTCAGATTTTCACATTAATTTATTGGTTTATTATAGCTGTTTCGGCAACACCGTGACTTTATCAAATACAAAATATGACACTATTCCGACATCTATATACATATATATACATATATATATATATATATATATATATATATATATATATATATATATATATATATATATATATATATATATATATATATATATATATATATATATATATATATATATATATATATATATATATATATATATATATATATATATATATATATATATATATATGTTCGCCTTAAAGTCATTAGTACCGTATTACATTGTCTGCTGAGTAGTGCTGACTAAGAAGCACGTGATTCCTTAATCTTCTAGAGATTTTCTACGCCCACGGTCCAGCTAACGTATAAATACCGGGTTCGCCGCAGGAACGACGGATTTTGTTGTCTTTTTCTGTTCACTTTAAAATAAAGTAGTGAGAAGGTGGTTTGTGGATAAATGAATAAAAGCCAGCTATTGTGTGTGTGTGTGTTTTTTTTTTTTTTTTGTAAATAGATACGAAAAAAAATTTTCAAAAGACACCGTCATCGCAAACTCTGCCGCCCATCTTGCGCCAGATATCGATAGGCGGTAGTGTGGAGATTTTTACCCACTAAAAAAAAACATTCCTCTTCCCCTCACCACGCAGATGGTACTGGGAGGACTGGATTGGAACCGCGTTAGCATTACATCAATCCAGTCCGTCCGTCCATGTGTGTGTGTGTGTGTGTGTGTGTGTGTGTGTGTGTTGATATATATATATATGTTCAAAAATTATTTTTTTGGACGAAGCTAATTTCTAAATGGATAGAATTCAAAACTTTCACAACAGATGTAGACTGTAGACATCAATATCAAATTGCTGTTAAAGTTTGGTAACTGGTAAGTATTATTTTCGTTTTCTACAAGAAAAATTAAGTGCTCTGCTAGAAAATGAAACCCTGTTAAAAAGAAAACACACGTGGGACATACCTATAATACTTCCGTAATATTTGATTTTTCTAGCTATTTTTGTATTTAAGATAAAAAATGAAATTTTGACCCAACGTTAATATAACAAACTATCCTTCATTATAAACAAGGAGGTTGCAACAGCCGACCAGTTTCCCTCCTCTTCGATCATAGACATCACCAAACTTGAGTAAGAGAGCCTGGCGCCTATGATCTCTTCGGTGCTACTTCTATAGTACTTCCACCGAGCACACTCGAAGAACGGGTGTTCGGCGTCGTCAATTTTATCAGGACAGTACTTACACATAAGGGTGTTGTGTAAGCCCATCTTAAAAAGATAAGCGTTGAACTGTCCATGTCCCGTCAGTAGCTGGGTCAGATAGAAGTCTGTGTCCCCGTGTTCCCGAGAAAGCCAGACATTGATATTCGGAATCAGACGCTCCGTCCATCTGCTCGTCTCCCCCGTCGTCCATCGGTCCTGCCACTCTTGCTGGGTTTCCGCTTTTATCCTTGTTTTTGCCTCCTTGAAGTTGTCGCATTTCCTTTTAGCGTCATAGAGCTTGGCTCTCTCAAACGTTAATAGGTCGATAGGCGTTGCTCCCGCAATGACCAGTATTGCCGCTTCCGAGACGGTGCGGTATGCACAGGCAACCCTAAGAGCGCCTCTCCGTTGCACTGCTGCTATTTTGCGCCTGCATGTTTTCTGCTTTAGGATGTCCGCCCATATCTCTGCTCCGTAGAGCAGTACTGAGTGAACTACCTCGAGGAGGACTTTTTTGGTTCGAGATCCCATCGTGTTGGCCATGATCCCTGATAAGCTGAATACCGTCTTGCTATCTCTCTTGCATGCACTATCAAGGTGTTCACGGTAAGATATTTTTTCATCTATCATTACCCCTAGGTAGCGTAAAGCTCTCGTTGACGTCAAAGTTGTACCTCCCATGTTTACGGTGAATGATTTTGGGAACCATTTTTGTCGAGTCAGTACAACCATCTCTGTTTTCTGCTTGGCAAGTGTCAGGTGGTGTTTCTCAAGCCAGGCTCCGATGGTGTCAGTGGGCTCCCGAACTAATAGTTCTGCTTCTTCGACACTGTCCACTCCGCAACGTCATCCGCAAAGTCCGCAAGTTCCACTTGTTGCGGCATCAGGATCTTCAGGAGCTCGTCAAAGTCTGCGTTCCATAGATCGGACCCCATGATTGAGCCCTGAGGTACGCCGGCCGTTACGTCGTGTTCCTACGGGCCTTCCGTCGTTTCTACAATTAGCGTCCTTTCGTCGAGGTAATCGTCAACCATTTCCAGATTCTCTGGCTCTATATCAAATTTATGTTCTAGATATCTCCCCAATTCGCGATGTTAAAGGCATTTTTAACGTCAAATGTTAGAAGCAAACATACTTTGCGAGCTTTGAGACTACCAGACCATGTTCTTCTTGCAGTCTCTATCACCTTCTGAATCGCGTCGATCGTCGATCTACCTTTCCGAAACCCGTATTGGCGGGTAGCAAAACCTCCAGCACGGTCAATGTCGTTTCGAAGTCTGCCTTGAATGAGCTTTTCGAACAGTTTCCCAGCGATGTCAAGCATGCAGAGTGGTCTAAACGAAGAAGGTGTTGAGGTTACCTTTCCTTTGTCCAACAGGACCAATCTCTGCCGCTTCCAAACCGTGGGAAAAGTGCGAGTTGCAAGACATGCATTGTAGGAGCCCAGGAGTATGTCCGGGTATTCCAGGGCTACAGTCTTGATCACCAAGGCTGGAATGCCATCTGGGTCGGGTGCTTTTCCTATCTTGATGGTCTTTGCCGCGTCTTGCAGTTCCTTGGTAGTAAAGGGAGTCGTTTCGCCACTTTTAACATAGTGTCTCTTCCTCCGCGGCGGGTGTTTGAGAAACAGCTCCGCCACGATGCTATACATCACGGAGGGCGGTTTTGGCGCTTCTAGTGCAGCTTTTCCAAGTCGTTTAGTGACAATTTGGTAGGCTTTACCCCAGATATCATTGTTGAGGTCATTGCATAAGTCTTTCCATACCGTCGCTTTCCTTGTTTTGATGGTTTCATTCAAGGTTTTTTTGCGTGCTTGTACTCGTTCACATACAGTTCCTGATCGGGTGAACGTTTTGCTGCCGTCGTTGCGCAGCGACGTAGCACATGGCATGTTCTTCGTAATTCTGCTATCTCCGGTGATCACCAGTATGCCGGTCTGTGTGTACCCCGAACTTTCAGTCGTGGCATAGAAGCGTTTCATGAGTCGAGAATAATGTTCATGGTTCTTGTCACTATTTCTTCCGTCTCCTTGTGGGTGCTTGGACTGGGGTTTCTCTGGAGAGTTGGTATGCTCCGTATGAAAGAAGTGCGTAGAGCATCGACGTCAAGCTTGCTAGCGTTCCACTTCCTTTTGTATAGGGTGCACTGCGGAGCCGAGCCAGGTACAAGTCCAACACTGAAGGTCACATACTGATGGTCACTACCATTGTATTCTTCGGATACGGTCCAGCTCTCAATTGTGTTCCCAATCCTTGGGGTCGCTAACGTAATGTCAATCACGGATTCTTGGTACCCTGGTCCCCGGAATGTCGTGGTATTTCCAGTATTCAGTACAATGAGGTCAAGTCTTGCTGCGGCATCAGCGACTTCATTTCCTCTGGTATCAGAGAACGCTGCGCCCCATTCTGCCGATTTGGCGTTGAAATCACCAGCAACAATGACTCCGCCGTTGAACTTGCCGATAGCGTCCTCTATGGTCGCCAGTTTCTGACGGAACACACTGATTCCCTCGTTAGGCGAGAGGTAGACGCTCATGAAGTAGGCTGTAGGGGTTTCAATCCAGACAAAGCCTGCTCCACTTCCGCTGTTGATTGCGGTAATGTTTTTTGTATTTGCGATCGATAGTGCTGCTGTCCCAGTTTCATCTGCGAACCATAACCCGTCCTGGAAGTTTGAATGTTGTTCGGAGATGATGCAGATGTCGACTTTACCGTCAAAGATCCTTTGGCGAAGGAGGTGTTGTGCTAGTATGCACCTACTCAGATTACCTTGAAGGACTCTGATCATTTTTGTGCCCTTGTCGCTTCAGCTAGGGCTGCACGGAACGCTTTACAAGCTCCGGAGCCCGGGATGTGACACAAGCTGTCCTTAGCATCATTCGGACATAGAAAGCACTTCGGTTGCTCGATGCAGTCGGCTGCCTTGTGATTTTCTCCTGCGCATTTAAAGCAGCACTTGCTGCGGTCTGGCCCATCGCAGGAATGCATCGCGTGCCCATACCCGAGACATCTCGCATAGCGTACCACTTTCGCTACCAGCCGTACGCGGCAGCTAACCCCCCTACCCTATATGCGAGCCTTATCGAGTGCTTTGACCGCATTGGCCTCGTCAATCTCGCAAAAAAGCCGCTCTTTGACCTCGCGGTGCTGTCTTCAGTTTTGCGGGTCATTTCTAGCAGAACGCCCCCGCACCTCGTTTGTTCTATTGACTTTATGTCCACTCCGGTATCTGTCGGGTTGACCTTGGCTTTGATCTCCTTAAGAAGATCAGCGTACGTTCGACCCTCGGTTGGTAGCACAAGAATGGCGTTTGTTCTTGGTTTTCGACGATCCACCTTACGATGACTGATTGCCCGCGGAACGTCGTTGGCATGTGGTTTTTGACCCACCTTCGATTCTACTGCCAAGTCCTGTTGCATTTTTTTCTTTTTCCTCTTCCGAGTCACCTCGGTCCAGGTATCCTTAGCCTGCTAAGGATATATATATATATATATATATATATATATATATATATATATATATATATATATATATATATATATATATATATATATATTCTCACGTATTGATTCACGGATGGAAAAATGTGATGACACTATATTCCGGGATATCATCCGTTCGTTCGTTGAACTCCGACTGGAATCCTGCAAATCCTGCAGACGTTTCGCCAAAATCTCACTTGGCATCTTCAATGCTCGCGCTTCGTGTGTTCGAAGTGTTTTCGGAGCGCGAGCATTGAAGATGCCAAGTGAGATTTTGGCGAAACGTCTGCAGGATTCCAGTCGGATGCAGGATTTGCAGGATTCCAGTCGGAGTTCAACGAGCGAACGGATGATATCCCGGAATATAGTGTCATCATATATATATATATATATATATATATATATATATATATATATATATATATATATATATATATATATATATATATATATATATATATATATATATATATATATATATATATATATATATATATATATATATATATAGTTTGTTTTTTCTTAGACCTTCTCTATATTTATGTTTAGCTTTTGGTTCTTGGATTATAGGTCTTTGTATTAAAAGCGATTAAAATTTTTTTTGTCCATATATTGACGTTTCGGTCTTCTATGACCTTCTTCAGACAGGGGTACAGTCTAAAATTATGTTATAGTACAGTTCTTTTTTTTTACATATACACAACGGAATTACAAAGAACCTTACCAAAAAGAGACAAACACAAATCTTAAAATTGAAGAGGTAGCATATAAACTTCCATATGATGCTACCTCTTCAATTTTAAGATTTGTGTTTGTCTCTTTTTGGTAAGGTTCTTTGTAATTCCGTTGTGTATATGTAAAAAAAAAAGAACTGTACTATAACATAATTTTAGACTGTACCCCTTTCTGAAGAAGGTCATAGAAGACCGAAACGTCAATATATGGACAAAAAAAATTTTAATCGCTTTTAATACAAAGACCTATAACCCAAGAACCAAAAGCTAAACATATATATATATATATATATATATATATATATATATATATATATATATATATATATATATATATATATATATATATATATATATATATATATATATATATATATATATATATATATATATATATATATATATATATATATATATATATATATATATATGAAACGTTGGGTCAAAATTTCATTTCATTTTCATCAACGTTAATATAACAAACTATCCTTCATTATAAACAAGGAGTCGTCCCTTTCATTACTTAGCATTTGCTATGAAACACCCTAAAAAATACCCATTTATATGAACTGACCAAGGTTGCGCTAAGCTTCGTTACCCACGTGACTAAAGTGGTGTTTATCATACCTTTAACTAACGTGGCGATCTCATTTTCAATGGATGATTTGGACCATAGATAAATTTTATTAAAATTACGTTTTTATTCTATTTGTCGAATATTTTCAAAACTCATATCGTTAACAATTTAAAGTATAGGTTCGGTGTCACATAACGCTAAAGGTTGTGTTGAGTTAATTTGAAATTCAAAATAAAGTTATTGATAACGCGCACATATTACAAATTAAGGCAAATAAATTGTTTTATCATTTCCGCGATAAAGCTCCCATGAAATGTTACTGTAAAATAGCCTTAGTTTTTCATCCTTCAAGCGCGTTACAAAAATAATTAATTGCATTTCTGGCATATTAATTTAATATGTCGTTTCGCATACTAGTTCTCTGTGGATTGGATAATATTATATGCACCTGAATTAGTAATTCCTTTCAAAATCACAGAGCTTAAGCCATTTTTCTCCATTTTAATAATGGCCCTATGAAATGTTTTTGGTTCAATTTTGAGTGATTTTTTATGAGCTGGTGGGAGTACTTATGACCCGCCCGATTATATGACCCAGTAATAGGAAAAATACAAGTAAACAATTTTGTTAAAACTGGCAACGCTGATTTGACGTGTGGGTATGCTGACGACCAAATATTTTGACAATTTAAACGAATTAGTGTTACTGGATATACCACAAACCGGTACTGATGGTTAGCAAGATCTCATTCATTCTCATTAAAAGATTAAAAGATTTTACTTTAGTTTTTAATGTTATTTTAATTTAGTTGAAGGTGATAAACTAAGCGCCAAGTTAACTACCCTAGTAGGTTAATGTGGCAAGGTAAAGCGATATTTTTGTTTAAAAAAAATTGTTTCGCAAAATTCAGTTTATATTTTTTTAAATAAAGTTTTACCAAAATAGATGATTTTTCTTAGGTGGACCTTATAACCCCACCAATAGCTTAAATATGGTTTTGTTTCACTAATTTGAATTTTTGTTAAAAATGAGCATTAACTTTTTTTAATAAAGCAAATATATTAAATATATATTTATATGAACAATATATAATTTGCTAATCGGGGGATAAGGTAATCTACGGCTGAAAATTTGATTCATTGAGCAGTTTGTTTTTTATGTTAACACCGAAATTCGTCAATTTGAAATGCAGATATCAGACAACGTCGACAGGACAGTTATCGAACGTGCTATAAACATATGATTTTATGGACACTACTAATTCTTTCTATAATAAAAAAAAAAGATTTAGATAAAGCTGTATTAACACATGAATTTTTAAAATGTATAAAGGAACATTATACCCCATGAATCCCATTATATGGACTTCCTCGACAAATAGTGTCATTCACGAATTTACGTTACAGTGTCTTGCTTAACTTAGTTCTTAGAAATGAAACTGGCATTCAGAGGTAAACTAAATAACAAAAATTCAGTGGGGTTTCTTGAGAAATATTGACAATTGTCAATAGATTATTTTTCTAGATCAAGGGTATATCCTTTGAACTGTGAGGATTGTAATGCAGTTTGCAGCTGATAGCCTTGCAGGATGATCTCCATTAGGGTTCACGAACATCCTAGTTTGGCAAAAAAGGACAAGAGTAAAAAACGGATTCGGTCATATTTCAATTTGTGTCTGCGGGCGTTTGACTTGAGGTATGAGCACATCGCTAAATTTATGTACATTATTCCACATTTTTAAAAATTGCTTCTATAGGTCTGATGGTGCCCGTGTGGGCGAAACACGTGTAACATTTTATAAATAATTATTTATCGGGACCTTGATTACGGAGTTTGACTGGATCGTTATAGTTTTATGTGGTAAAGGACAAAAAATATGTTAGGAATTTCTAAATATTGTAATTGATTTGTAAAAAATGAGCAATTTCTTCACTGGAGTCGCTAGACATGAAAATATATTGATTGGAGAAGTTTGTATAGTAAAATAATAAAAATTGCCAAGTTTTTTAACATGACAATTAGCAATTGAAACTTATTAGGATAGTGGTGCTACAGGGCGCTTGTTTCGCTGTATTACTTAGCAATTTGCTTAAATTTCATGAAATATGCAAGCCCAAAACCCAATTTTCTTATATATATATATATATATATATATATATATATATATATATATATATATATATATATATATATATATATATATATATATATATATATGAAACGTTGGGTCAAAATTTCATTTCATTTTCATCAACGTTAATATAACAAACTATCCTTCATTATAAACAAGGAGTCGTCCCTTTCATTACTTAGCATTTGCTATGAAACACCCTAAAAAATACCCATTTATATGAACTGACCAAGGTTGCGCTAAGCTTCGTTACCCACGTGACTAAAGTGGTGTTTATCATACCTTTAACTAACGTGGCGATCTCATTTTCAATGGATGATTTGGACCATAGATAAATTTTATTAAAATTACGTTTTTATTCTATTTGTCGAATATTTTCAAAACTCATATCGTTAACAATTTAAAGTATAGGTTCGGTGTCACATAACGCTAAAGGTTGTGTTGAGTTAATTTGAAATTCAAAATAAAGTTATTGATAACGCGCACATATTACAAATTAAGGCAAATAAATTGTTTTATCATTTCCGCGATAAAGCTCCCATGAAATGTTACTGTAAAATAGCCTTAGTTTTTCATCCTTCAAGCGCGTTACAAAAATAATTAATTGCATTTCTGGCATATTAATTTAATATGTCGTTTCGCATACTAGTTCTCTGTGGATTGGATAATATTATATGCACCTGAATTAGTAATTCCTTTCAAAATCACAGAGCTTAAGCCATTTTTCTCCATTTTAATAATGGCCCTATGAAATGTTTTTGGTTCAATTTTGAGTGATTTTTTATGAGCTGGTGGGAGTACTTATGACCCGCCCGATTATATGACCCAGTAATAGGAAAAATACAAGTAAACAATTTTGTTAAAACTGGCAACGCTGATTTGACGTGTGGGTATGCTGACGACCAAATATTTTGACAATTTAAACGAATTAGTGTTACTGGATATACCACAAACCGGTACTGATGGTTAGCAAGATCTCATTCATTCTCATTAAAAGATTAAAAGATTTTACTTTAGTTTTTAATGTTATTTTAATTTAGTTGAAGGTGATAAACTAAGCGCCAAGTTAACTACCCTAGTAGGTTAATGTGGCAAGGTAAAGCGATATTTTTGTTTAAAAAAAATTGTTTCGCAAAATTCAGTTTATATTTTTTTAAATAAAGTTTTACCAAAATAGATGATTTTTCTTAGGTGGACCTTATAACCCCACCAATAGCTTAAATATGGTTTTGTTTCACTAATTTGAATTTTTGTTAAAAATGAGCATTAACTTTTTTTAATAAAGCAAATATATTAAATATATATTTATATGAACAATATATAATTTGCTAATCGGGGGATAAGGTAATCTACGGCTGAAAATTTGATTCATTGAGCAGTTTGTTTTTTATGTTAACACCGAAATTCGTCAATTTGAAATGCAGATATCAGACAACGTCGACAGGACAGTTATCGAACGTGCTATAAACATATGATTTTATGGACACTACTAATTCTTTCTATAATAAAAAAAAAAGATTTAGATAAAGCTGTATTAACACATGAATTTTTAAAATGTATAAAGGAACATTATACCCCATGAATCCCATTATATGGACTTCCTCGACAAATAGTGTCATTCACGAATTTACGTTACAGTGTCTTGCTTAACTTAGTTCTTAGAAATGAAACTGGCATTCAGAGGTAAACTAAATAACAAAAATTCAGTGGGGTTTCTTGAGAAATATTGACAATTGTCAATAGATTATTTTTCTAGATCAAGGGTATATCCTTTGAACTGTGAGGATTGTAATGCAGTTTGCAGCTGATAGCCTTGCAGGATGATCTCCATTAGGGTTCACGAACATCCTAGTTTGGCAAAAAAGGACAAGAGTAAAAAACGGATTCGGTCATATTTCAATTTGTGTCTGCGGGCGTTTGACTTGAGGTATGAGCACATCGCTAAATTTATGTACATTATTCCACATTTTTAAAAATTGCTTCTATAGGTCTGATGGTGCCCGTGTGGGCGAAACACGTGTAACATTTTATAAATAATTATTTATCGGGACCTTGATTACGGAGTTTGACTGGATCGTTATAGTTTTATGTGGTAAAGGACAAAAAATATGTTAGGAATTTCTAAATATTGTAATTGATTTGTAAAAAATGAGCAATTTCTTCACTGGAGTCGCTAGACATGAAAATATATTGATTGGAGAAGTTTGTATAGTAAAATAATAAAAATTGCCAAGTTTTTTAACATGACAATTAGCAATTGAAACTTATTAGGATAGTGGTGCTACAGGGCGCTTGTTTCGCTGTATTACTTAGCAATTTGCTTAAATTTCATGAAATATGCAAGCCCAAAACCCAATTTTCTTGATAAAATTTTTTTTACGTACGGAGCTACATTTACAAGACGTGGAATCTTTAATTGGAAAAATAATTATTTGTTTGATTCTGAAAATCCTTGTTCTAAACGCATTTTCAGAAAGACTTAAAGGTGAACATTTGGTGTGCCACAATTTTGAATTTCTGGATAATCTAACTGGATGACTTCCTTAAAAACCATTTAAAAGTACTCGTAAATGATGTACCACGCTCCTTAAGAAAAAATATGTGGTATGTATGTATAATGTGGATTTTTTGGTATTTTGGTATACGCTCACGAGGTAGGAATTACCGATGAAAATATAAGGAGCCGCGAATAAGCTCGAAAGTAATAGAAAAGTTTTGTTTAATATTTAAAGAAATTTAAGAGAGTGTATTCTAAACCATATTGAGGTAGATAGTGAACAATTCCTACGTTTCATTTAAGGTCTTTTTTATTATTACTACCAACATTTCTATTGTCAAATATCGTTTTCTTGTTAGTTCCCATATTTCTCAAGTAAGAAAAAAGCAATAAAAAGTAAAGTAAAAAATAAACCAAAAGCGGCAGAGTTAGTCATCATGTTTCAATCACTTCCTTAATAATATGGTGAAACTAGCATCCTTTAAACCTATAACAGCCAATTTTCAGAATTCACCATAAACTTTAAACTTGGAAAGCTCCGAAACAATAAACATTTTTATGAGGCATGGTGCCACTATCTTCAGTTTAGAGAGTTTCTATTCTTTATGAATCACTCTGTATATTTTGCGTAAACTGGATTAACCTACTGAAAATGAAAATGGAACACGCAAATGAATAGGAGTCGATTAATAATAAACGCATTCTGCAATCCGTCAATGTCGTTAAAAACTACTAATTATTCTGGGGAAACGAGAACAAAGAATATACATCGACAAAAATATCATATCATTGAAGTGCTTGCTCCGACTAGCTTACCAAAGTATTGAGATATCTATACTTTGAATAATGAAAGTACTTTGAGTAATAAACTTATCTTTTTTTATCTCTAAATTTAAAATAGACACTGTTGTAAACCCGCTAGAGCTGGTTTGGCGACAACACTATAAATGAAATAAATCATCACTTGTTGCTAATCTATAACATCAGTAAAAGAAATAAAATTTCGAAATGATGTCGCATCATTGGGAACATTTTCTGCCATACCATTAAATCATAGTTTTAGTTCCTTTACCAAAATATTTGCAAAATATTGGCCTGACTTTATTTTTGAATTTACTTTCCTCCGTTCTAAAAATATTCTAAATCGAAAGTTATTCTCATTTATAGTATTATGTTGCTCTATAGCGGATAAGTTATGAGACGCCATGTATATCCACATTAGAAATACACCGGTTTAGGTTTTTGACGAATATAAAACTAACAGTCCGGTCGAAGATTGAATTTATCTTTTTATTTCAATAAATGAATCGTACCAAAACATTACAGAAAGTAAACAAAAATTTAGAATCCACATAGATAAAGAGTTGTTTCTAATATACTCTTATGCTTCTCACACTGTACAAAAAGCTAAATGGGTTAAATATGGTAACACATAAATTATCATATATACAAGACTTAACAATTTTTGTGAGGTTAAAGCGATTTATTTTAAAATGATTGCAGGCAAAATTCACTCCAATTCTTCATCCGACTGTGCGCCGGGTACATCTTCAGCGATGGCCTGAGGCTCCTCTTCATCATAATCGTTATCTTCCGTCGCAGCCGGTGGCCCAAAATCTGATTCCAAAGCTTTCGCTTCGGCTTCAAGTGCATCTAACTCGGCTTGCGCCTTTTCTAGTTCAGCTAATTCAGCTTCGGCCCGAGCCAATTCGTCCAATTCAGCCTGTCTCGCTGCTTCAGCTTCGTCGTCTTGTGGCGGTTGTTCTTCTTCTTCAAGGACTTCGGATTCAACAGGCGGAGGTCCCAAATCGGACTCCAAGGCTTTCGCTTCAGCCTCCAAGGCATCTAATTCGGCTTGTTGCCTTTCTAGTTCCGCCAACTCCGCTTCTTCCTGTGCCAAATCGGCTTCTTTTCTGGCAGTCTCAGCATCTTGCCTCGCCCGCTCAGCCAATTCAGCTTCGACTCTGGCTTGCTCGGCTAGCTCTTTTTCTTGCCTTTCCAGTTCTGCCAACTCGGCCTCCTGACGAGCCAATTCTTCGAGTTCCGCTTCTTGTCGTTTTCGTTCTTCTTCTTCCTCTTGTCGTTTCCCTTCTTCTGCCAGCTCGGCCTCTTGTCGGGCAAGCTCGGCGAGTTCCTCTGCCTGTCGCACCAACTCTGCTTCTTTTTCTTCTTCGGCCTGTCGCGCTATCTCTTCCAGACGTAAGAGTTGTTGCCGTTCTTCTTCCGCCTTCGCTTCTTCTTCCAATCGTTTCTCCTCTTCGAGACGTGCCCTTTCCTGTTCTTCCCTCCTTATTCTTTCGATCTCCGCCTATAAATAAATAGAACATTGCTAATATTAAAATTTAGGTTAACTACAGAACTGCTGATTCGATTTCGTTATATATGATGACGTTCGTTTGTGGAACTACAAATGGAATCCTGCAGACGTTTCGTCAAGATCTCATTTGGCAGTTTCAATGCTCGCGCTCTGAAATCACGTGGAACAGTGAAGGGGCGAAACGTATCCAGGATACCAGCCGAAGTTCAACAAACGAACCGATGGTATCCCGGAATATATTGTCATCACATTTTTCCATCCGTGAATCAATATTTGAAAATACATATAAATAAAAAGCTTCAGAAACGATGAAAAATATTTTCATTTAACTTTAAGTTTTAGGGATATACAGTGTTTAAAGCAAAAACCAGTTTGTGACATACTGTGTGAATTCCTGTTCACTGAATTGTTAAGGCTTTTAGAATCGATTTTGGAATTAATTGTTCTTTTTCGGTAATCTATACTTTCACAAAGTTCTCTTTTTATGGTGTTATGTTCGGTTAGTATAATTTTAACTTTTTGAAAATAAAATGTGTGTTTGGTGTCGCCACAATGGGTCTTTTTTTTGTTTTTCCTATATACACACTGTTGCAATTAGAGCATGGAATTTCATACACTACATTACTTCTTGAATTTTGTGTTTCTTGAAAATGGTCATTTAATAAATTCCACAAAAAAAATACAATTGCTTGAGATTGAGGACCAAAGTACTATTAATCTGATTGCGATGAAAGCAAATTTTGTTTTTATCTAACCAAACGCTACACATCTGTCATGTGGTTATTTAATGCTTATCGGAGTCGCTTGATGGCCTAACGTTTTAATTAGTTTAAATTTATCGTTACAAACAAAAATAGTGAATAATTAATAAAATTGAATAGTTTCCAACAATTGAATAATTTTGGATAGTTGACAAACCTAATTATTAATGCCTGAACAAGTGGTAATACGAAATATTTCAAAATGGCTAAGCATGTCAAAACGTGAAATATCAGCTCTTTGCTAGGTGCCCTTCGGAGATATTCTAAAAAAAAATAATAAAAAAAAATTTAATTATGATTTTAAGTATAATTTGGCACATTAAATAATAAATTAAGAACAATCCCTAATTTTTCCTAAAATAAAACTTTGAGCGTCAAATTATTTCATTCATATTTTAGGTTAGGAAAAAGATATTAAGATGTAGTTTTCACTGAGTTGTTGCGCCCTTATTTGACACAATTACACAGAAAAAATCATATCCTCGCATTTATTCTATTTTCAGAATTTTTTTCCATCTTCATTTTCCATCGAATCAGTAGTTGGCAAGAAAATTAACATTGATGCAAATTTTAGAGGTTTTTTGGGATATAATAAAGTCTAAAATTCCGAAAGCAAGTGAAAAATAGCTACGCCAAGACCTACTTGTCTTTTGACCTCCTCCTGACGTGCCAGTTCCGCTTTTCTTTCAAATTCCGCCGCCCTTTCCGCCGCCGCTTGGGCCGCTAATTCCTCTTGACGTGCCAACTCCGCCTTTCTGGCCGCCTCTTTGGAGAGAGCTTCCTGTCTCGCTTGTTCTTCGGCGATGATTCTGAAAATTTCGGGCAACATTAAAGTTAAACTTTAGTACCGCAATTTTTTTTTACGGTTTGAAGATAGTTATTATAGGCTACTTCGGACTAGTGTACAGTGATAAAATGGGAAATTCCCATCAAAATGTGCTTCTTGAGCTAATGCCCAAGCAAAATAAAAATATAGGTGTACCTCAAAATTTATTTTAAATGATTACAAAAGAACACTGTGAAGCTTACTTTAAGTTAAAAACCGAAACAAAAGGTTACTGTTATTTGTTTCAAATTTTGTTCGCCAAAAACTGACATTACACAAAAAAGTGCATGTGTAGTTTAATCCTATAACTTACTTAATTTTGAATAAGTAAGTAGTTAAGGGTTTGGCTAGACTTTTGTACGTAACGCTTGCTAAAGTGTACGATTTCATAAAATATATTTTTCAAATAAAACTCTTATTGTAACGAACACGCATAGTAGGCCCACTTGGACGTACCATCGAAGGCCTAGACCGCTATGTCAGTTCTGACGCGAGTGTCAGTCGGCAAGGAGTTGATACAGAGATTTTACCGAGTATAACCATTTGAATTCTGTTTTCATCCCAACAAACTGTTCCTACCCACTTTTATAATAATAAATACCGTTTGCTTGAGTGCGGGTTGTTACTCTAAGTTAGCGAGCGTAACATTATGTATTTAAAATAAAGAGTTTGTATCATATTACAATATCTGAAATGTACTAAGTTTTGTATTGTGTATTGTGTATGTATTAAGTTTTTGCAAAAAAATTATGTTGGGACAAACTGTTGTGCATCAATCCGTAAATTATAACGTCATGGGCGTCAATGCCCGTTCATCAGATAACTAACAATATATTAGCTTATAATTTAAATTTATTTATTTAATGAAAACTTTTTCCTGCCCTATTAAATCAATGCCAAACAGTGAAAATAGCTCACTTGCACTTGTTTCTTTTACTCTACACCTTTCTGAAATAGACTACAATAGTTTTGATTGCCAATGAACATTTAGAAATATTTTGCAGTTGTAGACCAGTTGTAGGATTTTGTGTCTTTGGCAAAAGTTGAAGGTTCAGAAGTTCCCCCAACAATCTTTAAATGGAGTGTGCAACTAAAAAATGGAGCCTCAACCAACTTGGTTTAAATTATGCAATTTAATATATATTTTCACGGACTTAGCGTCACCTGAACCAAACTTAACAAAATGATCTCGTCTCGTGTGATGATGTAAGTGCTTCTTCAAAAATTTAGAACTCAAAATCTTAGTCAATCACGCACCTCTCCTCGGCTAATCTGACCTCCTCCTTTTCTTTCTTCGCCCTAACTGCTTCGTCGACGTCTTTCGAGGACACGTGGTCTTTCTTTTCCTCTTCGTTGATAAAAGCGAGCCTCGCGGCTCTCGCTTCACGAAGTTTCCTCATCTCTTCAGCCGCCTTCTCGTCTTCCGGTTCCGACTTTTTAGCTCCGAATTTCCTTGACGGACGCGCAGGTGAAAGTGGAGCTGCAAATAATTGAAAGTCGATCGTTTAGGAAATGTTTGCTCGCTAAAGCGAACGTTAAATTTACTTAAGCTGATGGAACACGGCCACATATAATGTTCGCTTAAATTGCAATACAGATTAAAATCACACACACAGATGCGACGATAAAGCTTAGACATAGACAGACCAGAAACAAAACAACTGCAAACAACGTTGGTAATGATCGGATACAGCTATATATGGATTCATATAGCGCCTGTATGACAGACAGGGACATCAAAACATTAAACACGATATGTAAAATACTACCCTTCCGAAAGAAACTCCTGATGGCGATGTTGCCGACCCCAGAAGTTGGCAACCATCGCATGGCTTCTGCTTTCTATAAAAAACTGAAACGTCAATCTTTTTGGTTGACTATTTACACTTAACAATTTAACTGGTCTAAGGGTATTTTCATCTGAAGATTGAAGTTGTTCACTTCTTACGTTGAGCTCTACAATCATCCCACCTGAGCCTCATTTATCGCCAACATATCTCAGTCTCTAGACTCATCTAAATATTTTCAAACTCACTCTGTGGTAGTCTCACCTTGATCGATTATATTTATACTGCAAGGTTCGTTCCGAATGTCGATTTTCTCGCCCTGGTAATAGTAATAATGTCGTCTACAATCCTGGTAGAATAAACCTTGAAACAGTTCTTCCAGATAAAAGTCCCTCTAAACTCTGAGGACTAAAATCTCCTTTGAAAGTCATGTAGAGTCAACTGTTCAACAGGCATATCACCAAGTCATTTAAAGATTCAAGTCATTCGTTGTTGATTTTTTATAATTCGTCGGCCAGAAGAATTTTGGAGTTCGCTTGAGTTGTTTTTAATCTAATAATTCGATGAGAGACGCACTATATCTTAAATCATGGTATTAAAACATAACCGATATAGGTCTAATACTTTGCTTTATAATTACACGTTCAATTTTAAGTACGTTAATTTTTTATTAGTTATTGGTTATATTGTATACTTGCTGTCAAGGTTTGATAAATATTTGTGTTAATCTTGAGCTAGCTATTAATTGAAGATATTGCAATTTCTCCGTTGCTTTGAAAGTACATAACTAAATAAGTAAATAAATAAATATTATCATAATTTCTGATTCTATAAAATTATGAACGAAATTAATCCAAAAAACGTGTTTAATAGCTATATACCGAATAAAACATGATATATGATTTGAAAAGATTTATAATTTTAATCCAATATCCAATAAAATATATAACGTTCTACTCGTCTACATAAAACTATTGCGTGAGGACTTATTTTTACATTAAAACAATAATAAATAAACATATATAGCGGAACTGAAAATCTAATAGGCTACCAAGTGGCCTATTTGAAATATCAAAGTTGATGCTACTTTCTCGAAGACACGATCATCCCATCACTCTACATGATAATCATGATTTGCAATTAACGTTACCACTTCCTGGTTAGAGAAGTATCCAACTTTTTTTCCCCGTATTGAACAAAAATAAAAAAACTATTTTCAGTTATTAGTTACTACCATTTTAGGCAATGATGGTCATTATTCTTCATAAAAAAAGTGTAGTGGTGTTAAGTTTGAGGATGTGGGGGCCAATTTTGAAACCCATATTTTCCTATCCACCTGTATTCAAAATTGGCATATAAAAATTGCCAACCTTTGCAATGATAATGAGGCACAGCTCCATCTAAGTGAAATCACATACATCGTCTAGTGTTTAATACAGAAAGTTTCCAATAACTCTAGAGCAAAGTGCGACAAAACAGACTAAATTATCTGCCGTTTCCAAATTTCATAAGCTCGTTGTTTATGAAACTTTAACTTAATAAACATCAGAATAATTATATTTCAGCCTCGTTCTTTAAGATTACACATCACGTAGTACCATGACCTCTAGCTAGTGACGCCACGAATTCAAAGCATGAAAACAAAAAATATACCCCGCCCGGTCCCTCTTCACTACCTAACGATATCATCATTCATAACTGTGCCTCGTGGGGTTGACGCTAGTCTTGTTGTTAGAGAGGGTGTTTTTTTTAAGTGTACTGGTAGTGTTGTGATACCGTAGTGATAAATAGATAAATGGGAAACGATCCATGAATAGATCGCAAAATTTTCTAAAACAAATTAAACGAATTGACGAATTAGAATGTAAGCTGTAATAATTGTTTCATCGGGAATTTTAGCTATCGAAGATCAGCGATTTTCAAAATTAGTTAACTGCACATTTTTTGACAACGACTGAGATAGGCTTTTGTCCCAGAAGTAAAGGGTTTCGTGTCTGGAGTCTACTTTAAAAAGTAAAACAATGACTAATTAAAGAACAGAAACCACCACATGTACAAAGTCTTGTCTCTCGGTAAAGGCGAGAGCCAGATTTCTCTGATCCGGAAGACTGTTTGCCATTGGCAGCCTTGGTTATAGGTGGTGTTACAGTGTCTGATGTGTTTGTGATGATCCAAACAAACCGATAGATAAGCAGTTATATTTGCACCCTGATTAGCTCAGGGGATTTCGCCCGAGGTGATCGCTAAGTGGCAGACACTCAGACACTGCTTGCAATAACAATGACTTCGTTGGGCTTGGTAATTCCCGAACTGCTAGAAAACAAAGTGGAGGGAGTAGATAGACTGGACATTTTAGAAAAATTATGTGATGTTGGAAAAGTGTGGGTTGAAGTCAATCACTCTTAATTGTTGGCTCGTAAAGCACATATTTTACCTGGACTGGCTAAAACTATTCAAAAGATCTTAGATGCAAATAAAATTGATACCCATTTGATTGGAGAGAATCTAACACAAAAGATTGATGAAGCAAAGGCAATCCGGAAAACAAGTTGGACATCGAAATTCAGTTTGAAGTTAATGTCAACGAGCTACCACACCAAGAAGCAATCTACTCTGAGTACCAGCAAGTTAAACTGGAAGAGCCCATCTGTTCGTCAATCAAGGCACGCGGTCGAACTCAACGAACGATATCAGGAAACACCAGGTTACCGTTATACCCAAGAAGTCAGAAGACGTTACTATTTAAAACACAGGTAACTACGAAAGCGGGAATACTAAGAGTTTTCTTAAAAATGGCCCTCATTAACAAGTGTCTCCTTTGTTTTATCCTGCATAGAAGATTACCTTTGCTAGGAAAGTGAAACAAAGTTTTGTTTCGAAAGAGCAACACTGGTGTAGCCAAGGATATCAGGATATAACATTAGCAGTAAATAGGTTGTTTATTATCGGGGCTATATAGTCTTGTACATTTGAAGAAGGTCAGTTAATTGAATCTTATTTTTTATTTCCCCAACTAGATGGTTCAAAAAGTTTTATATTAAATTTAAAATAGTTAAATAGGTTTATCGACAGACATAATTATTATCGCAGAGTGATTTTTAGGATCAGTCGATCTTCAGGATGCATATTATCTAATACCTATCGATAACAACAGTAGAAAATTTTTAAGGTTTGTTTTTAAGGGTAGATTATTTCGTTTTGTTGCTTGCCATTTGGTTTATGTACCAGCCTATATGTGTTTACAAAAATTTTAAAATCTTAACTACTTAAGAGGCGAGGGTTATGTGTCAGCTGTATATTTAGACGACATTCTTTTTTTGGGGCATCATACCATATCACATACATACATGCAACGGTACCCATATTTACTTATTTAGGTTTCCTTATAAATTATAAAAGAGTGCCCCGATTCCGCAAACAACTTGTACCTTTTTAGGATTTGTGAAAGACTCTGTAAAATTTACATTGAAGTTATCTTCAGAAAAAGCAAGTAAATTAATGGCTAAGTTAAGATGGTTTTCTGCTAGACGATGTTGTAGAATTAGAGAGTTTGCGCAGTTAGTAGGACATTCAATAGAAATTTGTAGCTCTCATCCTTAGTGATGGTGATTACGACCATCTTATGGTTATATCGAGGACTTTAAAAGAGGATTTCATGTACAGAATTCATCTAACCCAATCAGGAAATTTCAGTTTAAGTTGTAGGTGAACAATCTAGAAATAAGGAAATAAATACAAAATAGGATTTAGCAGATTGAGCTTTCGGGAAAACAATTTGCGGAACCCCAGATTGATTGTTTTTCATGAAGAGTGAACAAAAAATGCAAAGTGTGTATATCATGGAACAGATATCGTGCCTCATTAACCTTTACAATCTCGTTGTGGAAAGAGTACTTCTTTTATGCATTTCCACCTTTTTCTTTAGTTCTTAGAGTTTTGAAGAAAATAATATTGGAAAAATCGCAGGGAATCTTAGTTGTACCTTTATGGACTGCAAATATTAATATCCAGTATTTCTTTCTCTGCTTTCATCAAGACATATTTTGTCGTTACAGAAACTGATTGAAGTGTTGATTTTTTTGGCTTTCGAGACTGCACATAGGGCACAGACGTTAACGATTGTTAATATTTTTAATAATAATATATATAATATAATAATATATAATAATATTTTTAAAAAATCTTAAATGATATTAGTGAGACATAGGGGCTTGGTAACTTTTAACTCGTACTAGTATTACCGTTCTTTGAGGAAAACCAGAACTGGGTGTCACAAGTACTCTTATACACTATTTAGACCGGACCAAGCGTTTAAGGGGTAATGTGAAAAACGTATTTGTTTCGTTTAGGAAACCGCATACGGCTGTGGGGACATAGACTATTAGTAGGTGAATTAAGTTTATAATTGCTTCAAGTGAGGTAGATACTTCACATTTTACAGCCTATAGTGTAAGGCATGCTGCCACTTCAAAAGCTTTTTTGAAAGGCATATCACTAGATACCGCTGGCTGAACTAAGTCCTCGGCAGTTTTTGCAAAATTTTATAACAAACTCATTTCAGAAGAAAAATAAAAAGAAAAAGACTAGAAGCCTGGATGAAGGGTTGTTATTTAATTATTAAGTGTTGAACTTAAGATTAGATTTAGATTAAGAAATTAGATTAAGTATTCAGTTGCTTTGTTAAGGCTGTCAG